TGAGGGCAATGATTGCACTGCTATTTTTAACAAAAAATCTTTTTCTGTTAAGGACAATCTCACGGGGGCCATTCTACTCCAAGCTTCCAGTAAAGATAGGACATATCCTTTTACCATCCCTACACTGCCACTAGCACTTTTCACCTCCTCTGCACCTGGTCCAGTTTGGCACAAGAGTTTGGGTCATTGTGGTGATAACGTTTTGGTTTATCTTCGGCGCACCAATTTAATTTCTAGTACTAGTAATTTTCATCATTCTTGTATTTCTTGCCAGCTTGGGAAGTCCCACCGATTACACTTTAAGGATGTTTTTCATAACTCTACTGCACCATTACAATTGATACATTCTGATGTTTGGCAGTCACCAGTTTTATCTCATCTTGGTTTTAAATATCATGTGTACTTCATTGATGATTTCTCTCGCTTTACTTGGATTTATCCTATGCATCGTTAATCTGAGGTTTTTAGTCACTTCTGCAATTTTCATAAATTAGTTGAAAATCTTTTGGACTGCAAAATTAAATATTTTCAAAGTGATGGTGGTGGTGAGTTTGATAATCATCATTTTCTTAATCACTTTCTTAAAATGTGGCATCATTTTTCAAAAATCATGTCCGGATACTCCTGCTCAAAATGGCGTGGCAGAGCGAAAACATCGTCATAATCTTTTAGAACTATCCCGCACTATGCTTATTGAAGCTAAGATGCCTGCTCAGTTTTGGGTGGATGCTATTTATACAGCTACTTATGTGATTAATCATCTCCTCACGCCAATTTTGAATGGTCTCAGTCTATATCAAAAAAAATTCAAAAATCTCCGGACTATGATTTTTTACGTGTATTTGGTTGCGCTTGTTTTCCCAACAAAATTGCCAATTCCGCCAATAAGCTATCACCGCGCTCTATCCTTTATGTTTTTCTTGGCTACACCCCAAGTTACAAAGGATATCGTTGTCTTGACCCCACCACTGGCCTTGTCCACATTAGTCATGGTGTAATTTTTCATGAGGACATGTTTCCCTATTCCAAACTATTACATCGCTCAACCACATTCCGTACTCCTGTGTCACTATTAGAATATCCTACAAATGTTTCCCCTTCTCTACCTAGGTCCCAATCTCCACTCCTACATTTAACTCACACACCCAAACCATCCTCAGGTTGTGGTCACTCCATATCCCCTTCCATAGCTCCAGCTGCTCCTTTGCCTACACTTACTGCTCCCTCTAGTCCTTCCTACCACTCACCTAGTATCCACACCAGCCTGTTAGGTTCCCCTCATCACCAGCTCACAGACCAACCCTCCAGCTCGTCACCCACTCCCTCTTCGTCCAACCTAGTGTCCTCTTCGGCCAGTGCTTTACCATCCCACCCGTCACCCTCCTCCCCACCGAGTCCTTTACCGCTTGTTCAGAATATTCACCCGATGAGGACGCGTGCAAAGGATGGTATTTTTAAACCCAAAATTATATTGTCTCTTACCACTGTGGAGTCCCCCCGATCCAACATGTTTTTCTCAGGCTAATAAGAGTTTTAAATGGCGGGCAAGCATGGTTGATGAGTTTAATGCCCTAATTGCTAATAAAACGTGGGATTTAGTACCATGTGATCGCACAAAAAGGTGGTTGGGTGTCAATGGATTTTTAAAACAAAGTACAAGTCTGACAGGTCAGTTGAACGACACAAAGCTCGTTTGGTTGCCCAGGGTTTTAATTAGCAAGTTGGGGTTGATTTTTATGAAACATTTAGTTCCGTGGTTAAACCCACTACTGTGCGTTTATTATTATCTATAGCCACTTATTTTGGTTGGGGGGTTCGTCAGCTAGATGTAAATAATGCCTTTTTACATGGTAATTTAACTGTGGAAGTATATATGCGTTAGCCACCAAGGTTTGTTCATCCTTCGTTTCCTACTCACATCTGTGGTCTGCACAAAGCTCTCTATGGTCTCAAACAAGCCCCTCGTGCCTGGTTTCATCGTTTTAGTGGATTTCTTCTGAGTCGGGGCTTTTCTTAAAGTAAGTCTGATTCTTCTATGTTTGTCTATAGTTGTGGTTCACATATTCTTTATATTTTGTTATACGTCGATGATATTCTTATAACTGGTAGTTCTCTCTCTTGTTACGTCCTTTATCTCCAAACTATCTCACACTTTTGCCATGAAAGATCTAGGGGAGATTCATTATTTTTAGGTGTTCAAACCATATGCACGTCCAATGGTATCTTCTTGTCTCAACAAAAATATATTTCTGACCTCTTAAGACGTTCTTATCTCCACACTGTTAAACCTGTTCGCACTCCTCTTCCATCCTGTACTACTTTGTCTTTGACGGATGGGGAACTTCTGGCCGACGGTACTGAGTATCGCAGTATGGTTGGAGCCTTACAATATTTGACTCTTACTAGACCGGATATTACCTATGTTGTTCATCTAGTGTCTCAATTTATGCGTGTTCCACGCACTACTCACTTATTAGCTATCAAGCGTATTTACAGATATTTGCAGGGCACTATTATAGAAGGACTATTGCTGCGTAAGGGCGGTAATCCATCGCTTATTATTGCATATTCAGATGCTGACTGTACAGGTTGTCCTGATAGTTGCGCTTTACCAAAGGTTATGCTATTTTCTTGGGCGATAATTTAGTTTCGTGGTGGTCTAAGAAGCAGCCTACTGTTTCAAAATCCTCCATTGAAGCTGAATATCGAGCAGTCGCTTACACAGTTCAAGACACTTTATTTATCCGGTCTTTACTAGCGGATATGGGGTTCTTTATTCATCAACCTGGTTCAGCTTTATTGTGCTAATGTTTCTGCATCCTACATAGCAGTGAATCCTATTCAACATGATCGCAGCAAACACATCAAGGTAGATTATCATTTTGTTCACGAGCGGGTAGCACATGGAGATCTTGTTGTTAAATACATCCCTACCTAGTTCAAGTTAGCTGGCAAATTATATCCTACACCCGGGTGTATAAATACACCCGGTATTTTTGTAAATAAACCAAATTCAAGCCTCTGAGTCAGCATGTTCTTTCCATCATCTTTCGTCTTCAGCAACCATCCTCTTTTCTTTCCTCTTTCTTTCTTTTCTTCCTCTGCCTTCCTCTTTTCTTTCTTTTCTTCCGCTGCCTTCCGCTTTTCCTTCTTTTCTTCCGCCGCCTTCCACTTTTCCTTTCTTTCTTCCGCCTTCATCAATTCTGATCGTTATGTTTACTTTTTGTTTTTTTTTGTTTTTTTATTTCTTTACTTTTTTGAGTGGTTCTGATTGTTAGGTTTTTTGTCTTTTTTTATTATTTTCTTTACTTTTTTAGTGGTTGATTTCACTTTCTTTGAGTTTGTCTTTTTCTTTTACTTTCTTTACTTATTTTCTTTGCGTTTTTTTTACTTCTTTTCCTTTCTTTATTTGTTTTACCTCTTTCTCTTTTTCATATATTATACAGAGCACATTAGAAATGAATTTTACCTTAAACTGAAATGAGTAAAACGCTTTAAAAAATGAACATACACAAATGAACTTTTGATTTTTTGAATACTCATTTTGTAAATTATGTTTGTTCATTTAGTATCTCTGTTATGCTCATTTTTAACATGTTTTAGCAATGCACATTTCAAAAGTCTCAAATTACATTAGATTTATATAAGAGTTGATTATAAACACGAGACAACAAATCATGATACTCAATCACAGATTCTAATACTCAATAACGGAGGCTTGATGCTCACTGAAAATGTCTTGATGCTCAACTAAAAATGCAACTAACAAATTCATTAATACTCATTTTGTAAGTTACGTATGCTCATCTGAGACTGATCATATGCTCATTTTATAAATGTCATATCAATGCATTTTAAAAGTACTACTAATACTCAATATAATAGGTTTGATTCTCATTAAAAGTTCATTATTACTCATTCTCCAGAAGTCGTGATTTTCATTTCAATAGTGGAGGTTGATGCTCATTTAAAATGTCATGATGTTCAACTAACAAACCTTACGATTTTCATATAATGTGCACTTTGTAAGTTATGTATGCTCATTTTTGTACGAATGTTATGCTCATTTTTAAAATGTCATATCAATGCATGTTTCAAAAGTATCATATTACATTAGACTCGCATACTGAAATTAATAGGAGTAGATTATAGATATAATTTAATAAGTTTTTATAAAAGAAAAAATAACAAAAAAGAAAAAGAATTAGAAGATGTGAAACAGAGATCGTGATACTCATAATTAGCCTTCTAATACTCAATAAAATAGGTCAAATGCTCATTAAAAGTACATTATTGCTCATTTAGGAGGAGACATGATTTTTCGCTTAAATTACAAAAATGCCACCGTTAAAATAATTGGCCCCTTTGCTTGTTTTCCACTCCGGACCTGTTGTTTATGAGGTTTGCTCGTTAATTATTGTGGGCCTCCATTATATTCATTAAATTTGATTTAAATTGGGCTGAAGCTTTAAAAAATTAAAAAAATATCTGGATGTACGGTTCCCACCCGTACACCCGGGTGTAGCATATACGAACTGCAGTTAGCTGATATTTTTACTAAGAATTTCACTAGTCAGTGATTTAATTTTTTGAAGTTCAATCAGCGCGTTGTATCCTCTGCACAGATTGAGGGGTGTAATAGAATAGTAGAAGGACTATTTTGTAATTAACATTCATATTACTACTATATATACCATGCATACGCCTAAAGGGTTAAGCCATGATTCACAAATCTATTCTTCCATAGGAGGTACCCCGACCCGAATCCAAGTTTGGTAAAAGCATTTTTTTAATTGTTAAAAAAGATGTGTGCAAATTTACATAAAAAGTTGTTTTTTATCATCATATATTCATATTACAATATTTTTCCTACATAAGTTGCTCGCTATATACAATTCCGTGATCACCATTGTTTTGTTTTTGTTGCCTTTAGTTTTGTTTTAATAAATTTTATGTTTTTGGGTTTTATTTGTTGTTCATTCTTGTTTTGCTCTCTTCACTTCAAAAGTAAAACTGTATTGGTGTCATTGATGTGAAAAGAAGAGATCAATAAGAACCATGTACACAATAACACAAATCATAAATACATAGTATAATGGATATCTTTTTTGGAACGTCCTATAAAAATTTAGAAGGCAATTTTGGGAGATGGCGTAGACTATGTATTTTTTTATATTTATACTTGCTATGCATGGATGTGTATTGATTAATTTTCATTGTATACCTTCTGTTGTTGATATATATCAATATTGTATACTTGGTATAATGGCATACTTATTTATTATAGGACAGAATCCTCTAAATTGGATGGAACATGATTTTTATCTTATCCTTGTATTACATACAATTCTTTACTACTACTATTAAATAAACTAGTGTATTATATTAGCTTAGATTCTTCTTCCATGGCCATTAATTTGCGGTGTCCAGTTCCAGGAATAGCATCCGCAGTTTGAGTTCCACATAAACACCACTGACGTTTGACATTGCAATGGTGGCAATCTGGGTTCACCCTGCAATCCCAATCATTTTTACACGCAATTAATGGAAACAATTTGTGTTCTTCTGCCTCCATGCTATGACCAATGCCTGCAAAACCCAGGACATACATGATACATATAAATATATAATGGCATAATATAAATACACTAGTCATCATCTATAACAATCTTAAATAATTGCAACATGTTGAATTTTACACTATTCGCGTGTTCTACTTTGACCACGTTTTATTTATCAATGTATTAATATTTTTTTTGAAGAAGAATATTGTTAAATTTGTCTCATTGTAAATTTTCAAAATTTATTTTTTTTCCTTGTTTTTTATCCTTATATATAAGCATTATTTGTATCCTTTTTATTTTTTCTTTTTTATGTATATTCATCTCCTTTTATATTCTTTTTATAATAGCTTATTTTTTTTCTTTATATATATATATATATATATATATATATATATATATATATAGGGGATGGTTCAAATACAAAGACCTCTTCCCATGGAAAGTGAGAATGAATCTTGTGCATTCATTTCCACATCTAATGGCTCAAAATGAGCCAAAAATGCACAAAATTCGACCAAAATCGCGGTGGCAATTTCGTAAATATGTTGCACTTTTTCCTTACCGCGAAAAAGTGCAAAAGGAACACGCAAAAGTGCAAGCGAAACATGCAAAAGTGCATATCTTCACACTTTGCACGGGAAGATGTCTTTTTATTTGAACTCTTCCCTTTATATATATATATATATATATATATATATATATATATATATATATATATATATATATATATATATATATATATATATATATATATATAATAAAGATCAAATGAGAACAATGCTTAACGTGAGAACACCACATTTAGCCCAACGTGTTGCACAACGAAGCTTGTATATTGCACATTTTCACATTTTCACAATATTTACCAAAATGCCTCCGTGTTTATTTAATATAGACTTGATCGAGCAAATTGAAAATGTGCAACAGAATAGCTCCATTGTGCACCACGATGATTTAAATGTGAGTGTTCTCACGTTCTCACGTTAAGCATCGTTCTCACTGGAACCGCACCCTTATATATATATATATATAGGTTTTGGTTCAAATAAGAACATGATCTTAAGAGAGAAATGAGAATGCATCTCGACCGTTAGATTTGCTTTAAGTGAAATTCAATGAGTATTAGATGAAATTGTAATGCGCATTAGATGAAATTGAAATGTGCAGCATAAACGATAGGATACAGTGGCATTATGTGAAACTAAATTGTGCACTAGGTAAAACTGAAATGTGCATAATAAAGGGTACGATGTGATGTTATTTTTGTACCTTTTATTCCACACATTTCAGTTTCACCAAATGCACAATCTAGTTACACATAATACAATCCAACGGTCCAGATTCGTTCTCATTTCTCTCTTGTGAGTACGTTCTTACCGGAACCGCTCCCTATATAATAGAGAAATGAGAACGAATCTGGACCGTTGGATTGTATTATGTGTAACTAGATTGTGATGGTCAACATTTCACACTTGCCGAGACACAACTTTGACCATTAATATAAATGATTTTGTATTAGTAAAAAAATTAAAAAAATTAGATTATGAAAATTTACAATGAGACAAGTTTAACAATAATTTTTTCATAAAATAATATTATTACATTAATAAATAAAACGTAGTCAAAGTAGAACATGTGAATAGTGTAAAAGTCAAAGTGTTGCATTTATTTAAGAACGGAGGTAGTATATATGAGTGTTTATATGAGTTTATAGTTAATGTTTGAAAATATAATTGTTTATTTATGAGTGTGTTAATTGTTTGTGTTACTAGCTTTAAAATCTTTTTGCGTGCATATGTATATGAAATTGAACGTCCTTATCTAAGCAATTAAGTAAAATGATAAAAAGAAAAAAAGCAATTAAGTAAAAGGACTTAATCAGGGATGGATTTAAGGGGGGCGCGGGGGTGCGACCGCCCCCCTTGGACTTTCAAATTTTCTACTATATATGTAATGTTTTTGTAAAATTGCCCCTCTTAATTTTTTTGTTGAACATTGCCCCCCTTAACTTTTAGTTTTTAAAATTGATATATAGTCTTACATAATGTAATACTTAATCGGAGATTTAAAAAAGGAACATCTAAAATAATTTACATAACTTAAATAAACAATAGAAGAACTCATTATTAGAGATTTAGGATACTTATTATATAAAAAATCTTAGTTTTGTAATGTTTAATTATCTTTATTCGATAACTAGTAAACAATTTTGAAAAATATATATCAAACGATATTAAATACCAGACACTCTAGCTACAAAGTTTTTAGATCATGTGAAGTAATCCAAGTTATAAATGTTTATTGACATTGAATTACACTATTCATTTACTTCTTACATTCTAAAAAGACTTTATTGCATAGATAATAAAATTTAATTATTTTAGCATTAATACAAATATAATATGCACTATATATATGAATTATCAATATAATTTTATTCTAAAAATAATAATATCATACATACTATTGTAATATTAAAAGAATTGCCTGTGACTTATGAACACCCTCAATGATAGACAAAAATTGTAATTCAAAAATCAATTCTTTATTTCTATAAGACTCATGTAGTTAAACAATGTTGAAATTATTTTAAAAGTACTCGTGAATGTGAACCTTATAAACTCTTTATATTTAAATAAAATGTTATATATCCTTTTTTATTTTTGTATTATTTTCCATTGATTTGTCATTTCTTATGCTTTAATGTATCAATACTTTTTTCTAGAACACTCCAATTATAAAATTAAAGTTATTTTGTCATTGTCTAAACTTAGAATATAATATATAGATTTAAATGTCGTCACGTATGTATTAATGAAATTTTTTTAAATAAAAATAGCCACAGAGCCTTACACTGGTGAAAAAATTCGCCCCGGTACACTAGAAAAAAATTCACCCCGCTACACTAATGAATTTTTTATCTCTTACGCTAACGAAAATTTTCACCCCCTTGACTCGAAATCCTGGATCCGTCCCTGGACTTAATGGATGGTGGTGGGGTAACTTACCCAGAGGCTTTACCGGGCCGTGGTCCACCCAAAATATGAAAAATGCTTGTATTTTTTTTTTGTTAAAATTAATCTGTAAAATTACTTAATCTGAACAAATTCTTTGTACCAAACTACCAACCCAATGAACCCTTGACTATATTTAAAATTAATGAATAAGTTGGTTAAGGGTAAGTTCTATTCTATATATAATCACAGCCGTCCGTGCTAGTTACCCGATTATTACAGTTTTCTCCATCTTGACCGGAGCGGTTCCGTTTGGATTCCCGTCCTTCCTAGTGGAATTAGGCTAAGATCGGGATCATAAGATGCAATAATCACAGTGGTTGTAAAATATAATTGCTGGAAAGTTCCAAAATACAATCTTCAAACAAAGACTTACACGATGTAACCATGAAGAGGATGAGAGCAACATATATGGTTTTGAAAGCCATGAAAGTGTAATTTATTGAGAGCCTTTTCTTTAATTTTATTGAGAAGAGACTAGAGAGTGACAAATTGAGAAACGAATTATATTCAGCTCTATTTATAGGGGCGTGAGTTGGGGTGATTTCTTTTTTTACGGGAGTGGGATGCATCTGTTGCCAAAATGCGGGATTTTGTTTAGGTTTTCTAAGAAAATGGGAAACATGTTCGTGTACAGGGGCGGATGTATGCTAGGTCAGGGGTGGGCTTCAGCCCAGCCCATTTTGTTTTTTTAATAGTATCGGTACATTTTCAAATCTCAGCCCAGCCTAAATTATTTGTCAGCCCACCCCACAAATAATTTCCAGTCCAGCCCAGCCCACAAACAAAACTGGCAACTAAACCATACGTCGTTACGCAGTTACACACACGGCCACACGCAGTCAGCAACTTAACCTCGGAACCTCCGATTCTCCGAACACCGAAGGGACGAAGACAACGAAAAAAACGGGCGAAGTGGCGAACGGCGAAGGGCGACGGAACAGCCGCCGCACTAAAGCAGCGAACGGAACGCCGAACGCCTCTGGCTCCGACCGACCTGACTGCCTCCAGCCTCCCTCTCTCGGCCTCTCGCTTTCTCGACCAGTCCTCCAGGCTCCAGCGACCGACACTCCGGCAGACGGCAGTCCAGCGGCCAGCCTTCATTCCTCCAGGTAAATCTTCTTGCGGTCTTGCCCTTTTACCAAGTAATTTGTGTCCATTTGGTATAATTTGACCGGTTGAGTTTGGTGTTGGTGTTGAATTTTAATTTGTGTAGTTCGTGAATTTTAATTTGTGAATCAGTGAAGTTATGAACTTCTGCCGTGATCTTGTAAACTGTGATTAACCGATTGTGTATTAAACTATTAATGTATTAATTATTATTATTATTATTAGCATTTTAGAGTTTTAGGGCTAGGGAATCATACAATCGTTTTGATTATTAATTGAATTTTTCAGTACATAATTAAATAGTTTTATTTTTTATGTATAAGTATTTTAATATATACCAATATTGAAAATGTTTTTTAGAATGGATAATGAACATGTTGCCAAGAAGGGAAAGAAGTTGATTTCATCATTCTTTTCGAAAGTGAATCGTCAAACTGGTGAAGGGAGTTCTGAACCTATACCTACAACAGTGCAAGATCTAGTCAATGAGGATCCTCCACATGATGTAGTCCCTGAAATCCAAACTATCTCAAATTTGGATTTCAATGCTCGATAGACATGCTCAAATGTAGAAGTTTAGAGTATTCAAATTTTTATTAATAATTAATAAATTTATAAAAATTGCACTAAAACGTTTAAATTTTATGATATGTACAATAGTATAATTTATATGTGAACGATAGGCTCGTGTTCGGATCGAAACATCACTATGTTTGATCTCGGCTTGAATAATTATTCAAATCAAAACCTACTCCGTGTTCGAGTTCGAAACTTGTTAAACTCAATTCATTAAATTAGATTCGAAATCAAGCTCGAACTCGAGTATATAATTCAAAAAAAATCTTTGTTCGATAACAACCCTGGGCTAAATTTGGTATGTATAGTAAAAAAAATTACTGCTGCTTAGTCCACCCCATCTCTCGATCCTGGATCCACCCTTGTTCGTGTAATCCGACTTATCTAGGTTTTGGGTGTGAGTCTTAGGTAGTGTTAGAAAACGGATTCCATGAATCCGACATGCAAGTTTTTTTTAAAGATAGGTACAATTGGGTAGTCTTAAGCCTACCACAAACGAAGATCAATTTTGCGGTAGTGGGATGCATCATTTTTTTTTTTACATTTGTGTGGTAGTCTTAGGTTTTTTAGATTGTTTAGTTACATTTTTTTACAAAGAGGAAAACAAAAATAATTCAATAAAAAATTGTGAGTGGGATAAATAATAGAGCATATGAAGCATAATATGTACAAAAGTAAATAAATTTAGTGATATTTATAGTTGGAAAGACATGTATTATTTTATTAATTAAGAAATAATCAATTGTTATGTTAGAGATTGTAATAGTGAATATACATATTTACACTTATTTGTAATATATATTTTTCAACTAAAATTATAACAAAAAATTATATATATTTTTTCAAAATAAATATTTGATGGTCCCGGATAGAGGTAAAAGTCTAGAGGGGGGGGGGTGAATAGACTTTTAAAGCTTTTTCAACTTTAAAACTATTCCCTTCTAGATGAGTTGATCTATAATCTTTTGGGAGATTTATAGATGCACATCAGAAGTCTTTAACCTCTTAGATAAATGGTGTATAACAGCTTTCTATGATGGATGAAGTTTGGACTTTGTAAGGTGAGCAGTTGGTTTGGCAGTTGTCTAGAAAGCAGGGAACTGCTGAGGCATCTGCTAGCGAAATACTCAATGTATGATAAAAGTGCACTCAGAATCTTTCTTAGAGTGGGAAGATCTTTCTGATGATATGACAAGGCCAGGTAGATTGATAATCAATCTTAATGAGAGCAGTGGTCTCGGCAGTTGGGTGGTAACGAGGGAACTGCTGAGGCACCTGCTGAAGTAAAAGTGAAGGTATGGAAGGATTGATTATATGGTGTTGCTCAGGATGATGTGGGCTTTCTGAAGATGTGCATCAGTCCAAGTAAGTAGGAATTTTACTGGAGCAGTGGTCTCAGCAGTTAGGTGATAGCGAGGGAACTGCTGAGGCACCTGCTAGGTTACCACTTTGAATTACAGTGATTAGTTTGAACAGACTTCTTGGAGATAGAGTTGTGAAGGTCTGGTGAAGTGGAGATGTTCAAAGAAAACACTTTTGCGTGAGCAGTGGGCTTAGCAGTTGGGTAGTCACCAGGGGACTGCTAAGGCAACTACTATGCCTTAAGTGGGATTTCCTGAAATCTAATGGAAGAGACCTTATAGTTGTGATATTGTAAAGCTCTTGTATTTCAAAGAAAGTGAGTTATTAAGCAGTAGGATAAGCAGTAGGGTCAAGTTAAGACTGCTGCTTAGGATGCTGCTGGCAAACTACAATCTTTTATGAGAAGTGTTCAGTGTGTGCTTTGTTGACTGAAGATAAATCAACACACAGTATATCCTGGTTCAGAGGTGGTGTAATCCTCCTACATCCAGTCTCATCCTATTTCAAATTGATTTCACTAATGTATTAAGCCCAATACACTTAGTGTCAATCTAGCCTTGACAACTCTGGCCTAGATTGAAAGTGTTTCACGAGGAGTACAACACCACTCCAAGCTACTCAATCATTTAGGTTTTTCTCAATTGATCCAGTGGAGATCAAAAGGTACTCCTGACCTATCTAACCACACTTAGGCCGGGAACAACTGTCCTCCTGAAGTGTTTACAACAATATCTGATGGGTTTACAAGAAAGTTCTAACCTCCAACTAGGAACTAAACTTCTAGGATCTAACAATGAACATTTGATACTAAGAAGTTTAGTGAAGCAAGAGTCTAAGTAGGGAGTCTTGGATAGAATAACACTTTTTCTTTTGCTAGATATTTCTTGAATGCTCAATAGAAGTATCTCTCTACTTAGGATGCTCAAGCTTGGTTAGAAACTTTCGTTTCAGCCTCTATTTATAGACTCTTTAGCTGATCAATCTTATCTGTTGGTTAGAATAGATTGATCTCTTCCGTTGAATATCTGGTGCGTACGAGTTGCACTCTTGTCTCTTTGTGCTGGAGCTGATTTCCCGGTTATTTCTTTGTCCTTCATTATTCAGCCGCTGAAACATCCCTTCAGAGGCAGTCCCATGTGTGCACTTCAATGTTTTGGACCCCAGTACTTGATCAGCATTAACTGCTGGCAACGTTTGTCTTCAATAATTTTGGGCGCTGAAGTATCTTCTATGTGTGTGTCCCATGCTGCCGCCCTCAGTACTTGATTCGGTATTAAATACCGGTCAAGATTTGTCTTCAATCATGTACATTCAATGTATATGATTTTTGAACCTATTTTCTTTTTGTGACATTTAATTAATCTTTGAGCTAAATAATATTTGCCGGTAGGATCTAAATATCCTATGAAGGTAAATAAAAATTACCTTATTGCATTTTTACTTTTCCGGTAATATTTCTTTAGTCTCAAAAATTGTACATTTACATTTGTCACTTAAATTTGAATGCTATTAAATGAGACACAATGTACACGTGCAAAGTATAGTGGCATCATCAAAATCTATCAAAATTGGGTACTAACAATATTTTTTATATTTATACATTTATTTGTAATATATTTTTTTCGTAGTATTTATTATCTCTCTTATACGGAGTATGTTTTAGTGTTTTTAGACATAAATTTGGTTATTTTCATTTACATTTGATAAAGTATGAGATTACATTTTCATATGTGATTTATATTTTTACATGTGTGAGTTATGTTTATTGACAATTTCTGGACTTACATTTGATAGTATATGAAATTACATCTTCGGGTTCTAATTCTGACATTCGTATTTTGGGAATGGACGCATGAAAGTCCCGTAAATCCATCCTTTTCTCCGTGAGTTGTATACATTTGTATTGGTCGTACTACCCGCACGGGTAGCTCAGTTGATTCGGTGGTGGAAAATTTGAAACAATGACCAAGATTCGAAACTCGCAGCGGTCGTGTGGAGGTTACAATTTCTGTGTGCTAGGCTGAACCTCTGATGCGCACAGATATAATGTCTATCATCATTAGGCCGACTGAGTCACCGTGACTTACATCATCCCAGAAATCCTGTCGAGTCGAGGTGTGGGGGCTCCTGAGGTGGGAGATTCCACCTTTTGGAACAATTGTATTGGTCGCCCAATTCCAACACCCACTGGATTCTAAACGGTCCATTATACCATTGCCTTTTGCACTTTACAATATTTTTTATAATTAAGGAATGTAATAAATACTTGTAGAAAGGGAGAATCAATCCAAAAAATATTTAAGAAAAACTTATTAGACTATCCCAAAAAACAAATTAGAAGGAATATATTGAAAAAGTAAGTTTTAGCTTGGTGAAGCTAAATAAGAAATGACATCATATGCGATATAGAAAATATAATGGAATATAGTTTTGTAACATAAATAAATGGCAAATTATATCGTGGGATCGATATACCATGCGCATGGTATACACATCCCA